GCCTAGAGCCCTCCCTTCCTCCCCGGCACCCCACAGCCTATCGCTCACCAAGCACACAGCCAAAATCTGCCTGGAGCACTCCAGTCCATGTCACCTTTTGCTAGAATCACCCAGCAGCCTCTCCAAGGACCTTCAGGGGATCAAACCCCAACCTCAAACATGCCTCGAGGGGCTCTCTCTGTTCAGCCCTGCACCTTGCTGGCCTCAGCTCCTACAGTTCTTGCACTCACTCGCAGGGCTGCAGCCAGGCTGAATTTCTTGCGGTTCCCAATCACATCATTCTCTAACTGGCCTCCGGGCCTCTGCACATCCTGAACCCTTTACCAGACACAAGCCTTCCTCACTGCTTCCCTACCTGGCTAACTCCTCCCCATCCTTCAAATCTCAGCTTAGTTATTTTTCCTCCAGGAATCCTTCTCTGACCCCCAGAAACCTGGGGCAGGTGCCTCCCCTGAGGTAACCCCCCCACCCCCGGCCTCTGTGTGCCCCTCTCCACTGTACTAATACTGTTTCTTTCCATGCCCATTTGTCTCCCAGACTGTCAGTTCCTGGTGGGCAGGGACCTCAGCTTGTCATTCCTTCATAAGTCCCCCATACCCAGCACACAGGTGGTGCTCAGGAAATATTTTTGACTAAAGACATGCTAAAACTGCTGGAAGGACTGACCCTGCCATCACCCACTCATCAGATATTTATTGAGCACCAACGGTGTACCGGGCATCACAATCCACCGGGAATAGGACCTTCAAGCTTTTTGCCCTCAATGGGCTCTGAGTTCAGTGAGGGAGACAGACCATAAACACGCACCTAAAAACAGCCCCAAAATGCATGAAGCAGAGCAGACAGAGTTAAAGGGAGCAGTGGACAATTCAACAATCACAGCTGAAGACCTCAATATCCCACTCTCAGTAATGGATGGACGAGACAGAACATCAGCGAGGGTGCAGAAGACTCAAACACCACTATCAACCTGACTTAAGTGACATCTACAGAACAGCCACCCAACTAGAGCAGAAAACACATTCTTCAAGTACACGTGGAACATTCTCCAAGATATACTATATGCCAGGCCATAAACGAATCTCAATAAATTTAATGGGATTGAAACCACACAAAGTACAGTCTCCAACCATAGTGGAATTAGAAATCAGCAGAAGAAAATTTGAAAAATGCATAGGTATTTGGGAATTAAACAGCATAATTTGAAATAACCCATAGGTCAAAGAAAAAAAATCACAAGGGGAATGAGAAAATATTTGGAACCGAAGGAAAGTGAAACCACAACATAGCAAGTAAACAAATATATAAACTGGATAATTTTAGATAGTAAACGATGCAATGAAGAAAATGAAGCATGAGAGAGTGTAGGAGAGGTAGCATAGTGGCAGGTCTTTGCCCTCCTGCATCTGCACCCTTGCCACAGCCTCATCGCTGCGGAGAGCACATCCCTGTCCCTTGCCTTTGGGCCTGGCCATGGCACTTGCTCTGGCCAATGGGACATGGGAAGAGAAGCTGTGAGCTTGAATCTTAGAAGCCCTCTGGTGTTTCTACTTCCTCTTTTGCCATCAGCATGGGAAGAGCCTCCCCTGGGTAACTGCCCCTTCAGCCTGGGCCCCATAATGAACACATAAGAAGCAGTCACTGAGCTGAACCCAGCTTTAACCAACTGACTTCCAGTTGACCCAGTTTCCCTTGCAACTAGAAGTGCTCAATGAGATGGAGGTAGAAGTTGTCAAGTGGAATTCTTTTTCAGGTGCACTAACTCAGCGGGGAGCATAAGCTTTTTATTTTTCCCCCCTCTCTCCTCCTTCCTGCCTGGGACATGGATGTGATGGCTACAGCTGCAGCAGCCAGCCTGAATTCATGAGGAACCTTGGAAATGCATGCAGCAGATAAATGAAACCTTGCTCCCTGAGACTTTGTGGAGCTGCCAAGCTTGACCTGGATCTCCTCCTTCTGGACTTATTTCACATGAGAGAATCACCTCTAAAATATTTAAGCCATCATAATTGAGTTTTTATTACTAGCAGTCCAACACAATTTTTAACTGACACAGAATTATTAGGAAAGGTTTCTGTAGCAGACTGTATTTTCCAGGAAGGGCTATAACAGTATCTCCTATCTCACAAATGGGTGCTTGATACTCCTCCCACTGAATGGTGGAGACTATATCCTCTCCTCTTGAACTTGGGTGGAACTTTGTGACTGTTTTGACTAATGAGAGTATGGTGGAAGTGGTGGTACGTGACTTCCAAGGCTAGATCATAAAAATGCCACGCACTTCCTCCTGGCTCTCTCTTGGGACACTCACTCTTGGAACCAAGCCACCAATGCTGTGAGGAAGCCCAAACTTGCCCATGCAAAGACTCCATGGAGAGGCCGCAAGTAAGTATGCTGGCCAACAGCCCAGCTTAGGTCGCAGACAACAGTCAGCACCAACCAGCAGCCATGTGAGTTAAGGCATCTCGGGGTGATGATAGCCCCTGACACTAAGTCACCTCAAATCTTTAAGTCTTCTCCAGACCTCATGGAGCAGAGACACGCTCCACAGGTGAGTGAGTGAAAGCCTGGCTAGCTAAATAGATGAGAGATTGACCATATAGACAGATAGGCAGGTGGATGAATGTGTTTTTGACTGGGTTCCTGGAAGGATGGGGCAAGTCTTTAAACCAGAAGTCAGCAATTTTTTTTCTGTAAAGGGCCAGATAAATATTTTCGGCTTTGTGGACCACATAGGGTCTCAGTCATATATTCTTTCTTCTTTGCCTTTTTTCCACAAACGCTTAAACCATGTAAAATCCATTCTTAGTTAATAGGCTATACCAAACAGGATCTTGACCATTAGAATTTAATTTGGGATGAGCAGAATTTTGAGTAATCCCTGAGTTAGCTCTATTTACCATCTGATAAGCACAGAGTTGAATCCTAAACACAAGAGATCAGGGGCCATCCCCACCCCCTCTCAACAACAGCATAATGGAGTCAAGGATTTTTCTAGTTGGGGAGCTTTAGAATGCATAGTCGCCCCCGCCCCCATCACCGGGCAATGTTGGGATTTCAACAGCATTAAATCCCTAAGGAGAAACTGTGAGAGCCACCCTGCCATTAGCAATCGGAGATAGATCCAGGTCGGGGAGTGGCAGAGAATGCAACAAAGTCCATGGGTCTCCTTCTGACTAGAGTCCTTGACTAGGGCTTGGAGTCACATTGTGGCATTTCTGCCACTTTTCACCCAAGCACTGACGGACGTCATAAATGTAGTTCCCGACCACAATTTCCCGCAACTAGCGTATGAGTTGTGATTTTTATGGGCTCTTTTTTTTCCTCCTCAGGATATTATTATGGATTACCAGCAGCTTCAGCATCTTTCCAACTGGCAGGAAGCAGTGCAAACACAGATGGAAGTTTCCCAGTTAAAACCCTCTTAACAGAGTCATAAAACAAAAAATCCCAGCCCCTCTCTGTCATGCTGCCAGCTCAGAAGCGAGTGAGAGAAGAAAAAACAGGTGAGTCTTCCTGCCATTGCTAAACAGGTCTTTTAGGTGTGTGTGTGGGGAGGGGAGAAGCACTGGTACATTTCATACCTGAGAGCTTTGGGGTTTAATAATGCACACAAAGCTCTCTTCCTGAGGGCAAAAATGAGGGGCTAGGAGCACAGACCAGAGGAGTGCACTGTCCTACTCCCCGCGACCTGGGTGCCCCTGTTCACATTGGCAATGTGATGCCAGGGTGACATCACTGACAGGGACCTCAGCTGGAGTCAGCAAGAGACCTAGCTTGGTGCCAGGTGCTTTGCTGCCTCCAGAGAAGTCCCTGCCCAGAGGCACTTCAAAGGCAATTGGGAACGCAGGATTGACATATGACGACAGTGCACTGGGAGTCAGAAGAATGGGTGTTCATCCTGGCTCAGTCACTGTGTGACAGTGGCCAAGTCACTCCCTCTGGGCCTCCTTATCACCACCGACAAAATGTCCAGGGTGGGCATCCCCAGCTTGGACATTCTTGGAAAGACACGGCAAACAATACAAAGCAGTCTAGAATCAGATGCTAAGCTATGAGGAGACTGCAAAAGGTTTAGAAAGCTCAGAGGAGCAGGGAGCTATTACAAGGGCCTTGGGTAGCTGAGCCCACCATGTCCCCTCCCTTCCCATGTCTTTGCTGTACTCTATTCCCTCACCCCTCACATCACTTCCTCAGGGAAGCCTGCCTAGATTTCCCCAGGTTGTCAGGCACTCCCTCTGTGCTCTGAATAATTATTCATTTGCTCATTTGTCTCCTTCACTGGCCAGATTCCTCCTGGGGAAGGGCCCAATCTGATCTGTCTTTCCATTCCCCAGCTCTTGTCACACAGCAAGTATTAAAAAAAAATGTCTGTTGAACTGAATCGAACCGACTACAAAGGGAGACTTTCCAGGCAGTCTTGTGGGTTGTGAAGGGTGACAGTGTCTGGTATCTGGGCATTCCCCAGTCTGGCCTCCTTTTCTCTCAAAGTCCAGAGGATTCCCTCACCACTAAGTCAGGCATTATGGACTCAATGCTAAGATGACTGAGAACGCCTCGTGATACCCCAACTGCTCTGTCACTGTTTAAACATATCACCCTCTCCATATGGACCTAGACGTATAACACACACACACACACACACACACACACACACACATACACACACACACACGCATGCGCGCGCGCTTGTACACAGCAATGACCCAGAGCTACATCGGCCCTCCTTCTGCCTTCCTCAACAAGAGGAAACTGCAGCACATCCTCCATGCACCCCCAACACCAGGGCAGAGAGACAAACCCACAGAAAGCATGGCTATCTGCCCCTGGAGCACATGAATCAGGAGACAGACGTCCCTGAAAAGCCTGGGAGGACACCCGCTTGCTGCCAAGCCTCTGTTCACGGAAACCACCTCTGTCTCCTCATGGCTTTTCTGCCTCTCATAGCACAGCCTTGTAAAAGGGCAATTAGTTTTAGGCAATTCGAATGATTAACTCACCAGATGTAAGTGCTGGAGCATCTCCACATATCTGTAGAGGGAAAGGGGGTTGAGTTCGCGTTAATTCCCATCCTGTATAAGCCAAGGAGAGGGCGATGCTCTGTTACTAAGCAGCTGCTTGGGGACTCACGCTTTCTCTGAAGACAGCAGTTCCTGTGCGATGACTTGGGCTCTGGACTGTCCTTCCACCTGTGAATGGAAACAGAGCCATCAGGAGGGGCAGCACCAATGGGGACAACAGAGGGAGACCCCGGCTCCACAAGCATCAGGGTCACAGGACGTCCAAGCTGCTGGAGGTCAACCCCACGAACTTCTCAGGCCATTCCCTGCCACTCACCACCTGTGTGATCTTCAACTTCACTGCACCGCCGTTTCCTCATCTGTAAATACGGGTATTAAGTGCATCTAACTCTGAAGGTTGTTGAGCTAACACTCAACACAGTGCCTAACATATAGTGAGTGCTCAGTAAGTGGCCGCTGTCATGACTGTGACCTTTGCCTCCACCCACAGCCCTAGCAATCGTGAACAACTTGTAATTCTCCAGGAGCTCTCCTACCTCTTCTTTTGCAGATGCTGTGTCCTTTCCCTTTCTCTGCCTGGCTAACTCTGCCTGGCTAACTTAAATCCTTTAAGGCTTAGCCCATGGCATCTATCACCTTCTCATGGAGCCTTTCCTGATGCCCTCCTTGAACTGGCTGGGTTAGGTATCCTTCCTGGGCATCCTCCTGTCAGGGCTCCCCTGGAGGGCAGGGACCATCAATTTCACCTCTGCATGACCAATGCCTGACATATAGTAGGTTGCCTTTTGTTGACTGAAAGAAATAGTGAATGAGTGAGAGAATCATTCCGCTTTGGAAGTACTAAGGCTCTTGCTGACCTCAGAAGGTGAGCTGTATAACCTATCTGAGCACCAACTTCGGTAACATTTGGGACTGAGATTATGTCTATAAACAGGAAGGATGGGCGGGGGCCGAGGCAGATGCCTGGGCCTTCTGCCACAAGCAGGCCCCTCCTCTGTGGCCCCAAACCTGCCGGCTGACAAACATGGCTGGTGGAAGAGAAAAGACACCATGGGGTAGCCTGAGAGAGCAGGTGGCCGATGCTGGGGATATGCAGGCATGCCGGGGCAGGGTGCCCCCCGGGGGAGCAGAGGGCACTCAGGGGCAACGCCTGGCTTCTCGTTCCAGCTCAACCACTGCCTCCTGGTGCAACCCTGCACAAGTCGCTTTCTGAGGTCAAGCCTCAGTTTCCCCATGTGTGGACAAAGTGACCTTGAAATGTGCTTCCTGTGTGTTACTAAACTTGAGGAGTCACTGGTCAAGTAAACGATCTACTCTAGCGACGGGAAACTCATTACAGGATGAAGGAGCAACTGCAGTGTGGCAGTCATGAGCATGGACTGCGGAATCAGGCAGTTTGGGCTCAAATCCGGCCTCTGCCTCTTTTACTAGTTGAACAAGTCATTTAACCACTCTATGCCTCAATTTTATTATTTGTAAAACGGGTACAAGACTATACTGGTACCTAATACACATGCATATTGTAAGGATTAAATGAGTATTGATATATATACATATAAGAGCATATGTGTATATAGAGAGAAATCTATAGATCTATGAATTTATATATAGCAATAAATCTATCTATATAAATACCTATCTAGAACGCTATCATCTCTCTCTCTCTCTCTCTCTCTACATATCTATCTTGCACTTGGAACAGTGCCTGGCACCAGTAAGCACTACAGAAGTAATGGCTGTCATTATCCTTGTTATTTTTGTTACTGAGGTAGTGCCAGGAACAGAACCAAGTACCCAGGGATGGAAAAGAAAAATAATTTGGTCAAGTAGGGGAAAGGCCTCAATTGCAAAATGAAGGCTGAGCCACTCCTCTGAGAGTAGCGGCTGAGGCAGTGGAAAGCAAACGGGCTCTGGAATCAAGCACATCCAAGTTCAAATCCTGGATGTGTTAATCGTATGATGGTTGGCAAAGCATTACCTCTGAGCCTGTTTTCTCATCTGAAATATGGTGGAGAATAATCAACCCGACCTCATACGCTGGTCTTTTGGATGATGTGTTCCTGACTCAGGGCCTTTTACTCTCTGTTCCCTGGGCTTGTGATGTTCTTCCCCAGATCTTCTCATTCTTACTTTCTGACTTTTGCAGGTCTTTGCTCAAAAGTTGCATCCCAGCCTTAGTGTGGCCAGCCACAACTAAAGAACACCCAAAGTCATTCTCTATCCACAGCGATTCTCAACTTTGGCATTACTGACATTTTGGGCCAGACAGCTTTTCATGCAGGGGCTGTCCTATGTATTACAATACTGTTAACAGCATCCATGGCTTCTAGCCATTGGATGACAGTAGCAGCCCCCTTAGCAGCCCATAGTTTTCAGTTGTGACAACTAAAAATGTCTCTAGACTTTGGCAAATGTCCTCTGGGGCAATATCTCACATCCAGTTGACAGCCACCGCTGTAGCCCTTCATCTTGCTGTATAGCAGTCACACTACTTAACATTGTCCTTGCACACAGATGTTCAATAAATGTTTGAACAAACTGATGAAATGAGGTACAGTCCCTGGCACATAGTAGGTGCTCAATAAATGAGTCTGTGTCCCAGTGGGTCCATATCTGAGTTTTCTGGCTAAGAAGCACAGTGTTTTCTGGATACTTCAGTTTCTCTGAGGCCACCCTAACAGTGCAGACGCTGGGCCCATGGTTAGTCTCCCTCCTGCTCTCACTGCAGCCTCTGTGGTGGGCTGTCAAGCACCCATGGAGCAGGAGGGAACATTGTGAGGCCTGCAGAGGCCTCCAGTCTCACCTGGCCTCCCGCCCTCCCACTGGCGCCAGATTGTGACTCACCGTCTGCCTTCTGCATCTTCAGGGCTAGCGTGGGGCTCTGTAGACAAGAGCAGCTCACGCTTCCCAAATCAGGGGCTCCTTCCGAGTCCCACATGTGAAAGGCTTTGTAAACAAAACCTTGCAATGGAAAATGTATTCTGCCAGGACAGACCTTGACAGTTAAGAAAACCCTGGGGTCAAGCTTCCATGAAGAGAGTTACTCTGGAGAGAAAGTGCAGGAGATCTGAAGCTCAAGCTCCTCCCCTACAAAATGAGGACAAGAGTCAAGGTGACCTCCAATCTTCCAGGGGCCTGTGATTTAATTCTCACTGGTTATCCAACGTGATGCTGCGAAGGCGTGACTTAAACCCTGGGCTCCACCCTTTCCTATACTGATGCCCTTGGACAAGTTATTTCTCTTCTCTGAGCCCCACTTGCAAAACTTGGATGATGATGATGATGATGATGATGATGATGATGATGATGATAATAATAATAATAATAATAATACCTACTTAACAATATAATAGCTAGCATTTATTGAACACTTATAATGTCCTAAGTATGGCTCTAAGGTTGTTGGGTTTTTTAAAATATTTTTATTGGGGAATTGGGGGTAAATATTTTTATTGGGGAATTGGGGGAAGGGGAACAGACAAGTTGCTGTCTTTTTGTTCTTCAGTCTAGTTGTGGAGGACATTGCTTCTCTGGCCCAAGTTGGCACCATCATTGCGCTCTTCCTGGGCGAGGCAGATCAGTCGCCGGCTTCTGGACGGCCGCTCACGGTGGCTTGAGGGCCGCTCACGCTGGCTGCTGGCTACACATCGTAGCCCATGGCAACCCACTGCAGTAGGGGCTGCAGCCTACACCTCACCAGAGACTCAGGGAAGCCCAGCTCCAGGTTGAGCTGTTGTTCAGCATCTTAGCTGTAAAGGGCAGCGTCACTGGCCTTAATATGTGGGATCCGAATCGGGGCCCTCTGGCGTCCCAAGCCAGCTTTTAACCAACGTGCCACTCGGCCGGCCCAAGCTCTAAGGTTTTTATGCATATTATCTCACTGAATCTTCTGCAAAATCTACGAGGTAGGTACTCATTATCTCCATTTTACAGATAAGGAAACTGAAGCACAAATAAGTCCTACTCTTTGCCCAAAGTCACTGCTAGTAATTGGCAGAGCCAAAATTCAAACCCAGGCAGTTGGGCTCTTAGCAGTGTGCCTGGCACATAGTAAGTACTCAGTAAATGGCATCTCTGCTCATTGTAGATGGCAGCTTTTTCAAATTGGGAAGCACCTATTCTTCACCTGCACTGTAATGCCGGCAGCAAGAGTGTAGCACTCCAGGAGGGGCGTGGGCTAGTCCTCTGGTCTCAGCCCTTCTGACTCATACCCTCAGAGTAGTGCCCACCATGGTACATGGGAAAGAACTATATTGGAAGTCAGGACACCTGGGTCCACGTCCCAGCCAGTCCACGAAGGCTATGTGACCAAGGGCAAGCCCTTCTCAGATGCCTCAGTTTTCTCATCTGGAAGATGGGGTCAATATTCCCACCCTGCAAGAACTAGATGATGAGATGATGGATGGGAGTGATTACGCAGTGCCCAAACTTTTGGAGTTGTCATCATTACCATTGTTACAATCTCGAGCTGTGGGACAGAGCTGTGGTAGGGTCGGGGCACGGGCCACTTTGCACGTCCCATCCAGCCCCTCCTGCCAGACGGGCAGTCTCTGGGTGGGACACATGGGCCGTCCTGCTTTAGTGACTGCAGATGATAGATGTGTCTTCACCAGCCAGACAAGAGGGAGGCCTGGCAGGCCATGTGCCCCAGGCTCTCCTCAGAAGCTGCTTATGGGCGTTGCCCAACTGGGCTATTTAATATAGATGTTTGTTTAACCAGGAAATGAACTCCTAGGTTGACGGCAGTGTCCAGGGACAGACTTCTGGGAACAAGGTTCCTCCCAGGAGCATGGGGGCTGGGGTGCCAGGGCTGTACTCTCGCTATCGCCGTTCTCAGTCTGACGCTGTGGGTGTTACATCAGGCGGCTGCTGGCCCCTCTGCCCGAGGCAGAGCTTATCACCGCTGTTCCCCAGGGCCGCCCAGTCCTGTACTTCCTCCCCAGGCTCCAGGCAAACTAGCCAGCTCATCGCTGGCTATTCTGGGACCAGGTCAGGTCGGGAGGGACAGTCCTCCTTCAGGGACCCTCGAGGTTAAAGAGTGGGTCACAGAAAGAGTTCAGAGTCCTGGTCCCCTGTCTCCGTGCCTCAGTTTGTCGAGCTATAAAATGGGGGTACTTAGCCTCCTTTTAGAATAGCAGCTCCCCAAGTGTGATGCCAGAACCTCTGGG